CAAGTCATTTTTTGCAATCTTTTTGTTAGTTCTAACTTGATTATCAAATAATTTTTATTTTTACACTATTACAGAAGTGCATTTCTCTAGGTTTCCAAAACCACCTTATTCAACCTTCCCCATCTGTCACCATCTGCTTCTTTTTAGCATGTACTTTTTGTGTGATCACATAAGCATGTGAAAAATAACTAACATTCAGATGATTATCTGCTGGTACATTTGAGGACTGGGCATAATAAAAGTGAACTGCCAAAACGTACTTAACACTTTTAATTTTGTTGGGTCTTGCATGTAAGCTACATTTGATTTTCAAACTGTTTTACAGTTGGAAAGTTGATCAGGTACCGCTAACTCAAGAGCAAAGCTGAGACTAAATAATTAGCACTGCATAAAATGGTTTGGATTCAATGAGAGCCAAATCAAATAATAAAATTTAACAGTAAGATTTTATATGTAATTTCTAATTTATAATGTTTAATTGTGAAATACAGTAGGGATTACAAAAACAAAATCCCTCCAAAATATCTTATGGTTCATAATGTATGGCAAGTCAAGTTTATCTCCTCTAATATCAGTAAGAACAAAAACACGTTTAAAACTATATACACTAATGCATTTTTGAGGCTGTCACACACTAAGCGCGTAGTTTATATGCCCGCTAGGACTGTATCTCTGCAACCTCTTTAAAACATACGTGTTGGTTTTTTTTTCCCTTTAACACTAAAGAGCTATAATTCTTCATCAAAGGAGGTAAGAGAACAAAAATTTTAAAAATATTCACTTTCAACAAATGGCATTTTTATACTATAACATTTATTTTTTCTGGTGGTCTTTGCCACAAGAAGTAAACTTACTCATTTAAAACTTAAGTTTATTTAAAAATCAACTATGAATCTGATTTAAAGGACAGTTAAATCGGTTTTGAACTGATTTCTAACAGTCTTTTTGAAGCATCTTTTAGATACCCTTGCCTATCTTTAAACAGCAAAGCATTTCTATCTGATTAAAAGAACTGAACGGGCAGAGGTTGACCGCTGCCAGGTGAAGTAGAGGTTGCAGTGAGATCTGTCCATCACACGTAAGCAAGTCTCTCCCACAGGGGAGGAGAGGGGCCACGCTGACAGAGCCATTCGGCAGGGAAGCAGCGCTCAGGGACGTGGTCCAGGTCTGATAAACAACTGCTGCTGACAGATGATCGAGAGAAGTCTGGCGTTTAAGAAAGGTATGGACTAGAAATTTCAGGGTTCAAAAGGAGTGAGAGACACCACCTGAAGTAAGGGGAGGAGGCTCCCGCCAGCCCCGCCCTGACTCGGACCCTGTACCCCAGCTGTGCTGCCTCCTCGCTCTCACTCAGAAAGGGGCTTTCCCTTCCCCGTGAGGTCTAAACGCACCTGCCATCCTCTCCACGTGTCCAGCCTCGTCCCCAGCGGCCTCCCCTTTACTGCCCCTGGGCCCCCAGCAGGCCCACACACCCCTCCTTCCCTTCCGCCCCACTCTGACTAACCCGAAGAGCACTTAGTGTGTGCACCGTAGTCATTATTCTCCGTACCTTGTCACCTTGGTAAACAGCAGAATACTTGAGGACAAAAACCATTTCTTACTATCTTTGTATTCCCAGCATCTAACATAATGCATGACACCTAATATTCAATAAATATTTCCTTAATAAATGAATGAATGTTCTTTAGTGAAGTGGTCCATATCAGCGATCAGAAAAAAAAGACTTCGGTTCTTGTTTTTAAAACTGAGTAAACACATCCAAAGTTACTCTGATTTAACAAACATGCAGTGCTTCATATAAATACTTAAACTATAAGAATTAAAATTTCATGAGTAGTTGTTTCAAGACTTGTCATCCTCAAGCAGTCACTACAATGACCAGTCTCCCCTGTAAAAATGAAGTGTCGAGACTTAAATTATGAATCAGCATGTGTCAGCCATGGGTATATAAACTGCTTTTAAAGACCAGACTTCTGCAATATTTAAAAAATATGTATAGACAGAAATGTTTTCTTACTTGTCTTTAAAGAGAAATGGATAATTTCTTGTGAATTGTAAACTTTCCATGTAAACAATTGGGCCCCCCTTGAATTAAATTCTTGGTTTTGTTCTCTAGTTGATAGTATTTGCATATAGAACAATATCTTTGTTTCTTAGAAGATCATCTGCTTCTAAAATGAGACGTATTTATCTTCTTCAGAAATAATTTCCCCTAATTGTGACACAACTAATTTTGTTATTCTAAATATGGGATAACATCATCTATGGCAAATGTATAGCAGGGGTAATTAAACTCCAGAGAAACAAAGAACGTGTTTTTCATAACATTCACAAAAACAATCCTATTCTAAAAATTATGATCTTGTATTTGAATAAACAAGGAGCTGTTTCTAAAATTTTACCTAATTCAGCCACAAAAATAGACAATTTTAAAGTCCAGGTTTTGTAACAGAGAAAATTACATTTTTGGCAGCCCTCGAGAGGATAATTGGAAATTTACTGTATTTCAAATTATTAGCACTTATTTACAATAACTCCACATTCTTAAAATGTAAATGTAATCCCCACTTGACAAGGCCTATTATAATGACCTGGCCTGAGTTACTACATGTATAATAAGGACTGCGGGATCGTTCTGAATGTGGTCCTAATTCCTAATTTCTTTTGATTACCTTTTCCTGTTGCGTATTTACAAAGAATTTTAAAAGTGACAATTATTTGCATCTGTAAGTGGCCTTGAAATTGTGACTTTTTTCTTTTTTGGGCCATGACGTATTCGGTTAAAAAAGTGCAAAAGCAGGCTTTAAAAAATGAACTTAGAATCGTGATTCTCTCTCCACCGCCGCCCTGCTGTGCATAGATGACATAAAAGACTCTGGTCCTCAGTTCCCTCACCTTTAAAAAAAGCAGGTTTGCCATCACAAGAGCCTATTGTAAACATGCAACATGCTAAGTCAGCATATGGCACATACGAGATGTTCCACAAACAGGGATCTTCATCCATCAAAGATGGATGCCTCCCTCTTGGGCTCCGGCCACACTAACCTCGTTGGATTCTGAAGGAAGAGCTGAGCTTGTTCCTGCCTGGGGGTTTTTACAGTAGCTGCTCTCCTGTTTGGAAAGTTCTTTCCCTCTGTTATGCAACAGCTGCCTCCTCCTTAGCATTCAGGTCTCTAGTCAAACATCGCTTTCTCTGAACGGCTATCTGCAGAGCAGGACATATGCCAAGGACAGTGGCAGCAGCACCTCCGTCCCACGTGCTCTTCCACAATGGAGAGCGGGGGTCCGCGACACTCCCCTGAATCTGTGTGGGCTTCGGACCGCTGAACCAGTAAGCACAGGCAGGCGATGCTGTGTGATCTCAGAAACTAGTTCACAGCAGCATCGGAGCCAAACAAACACTGGAAGCAACCCTAACATCCGTCAGCTGTAAAATGGATACGCGGATGTGGTATATCCACACAATGGACTATTATTCGGCCACAAAAAAGGAAGGAAAGGCTGATATAGGCCACAATGTGAATGAACCTCATAAATCTTAGACTAAGTAAAAGAAGCCAGACACAACTGCCACGTATTTTATGATTCCATTTTATATGAAATGTCCAGAATAGGCACAACAGTTGGGACAGAAAGTACCTTAGTAATTGCCCAAGGGGAGGCAAGGGGAACGGGGAGGCAAGGGGAACGGGGTGTGTGTACTCAGAGTTGATAATATTCTGCAACTAGACAAGGGTGACAGTTACACAATTTTGTGAATATACTAAAAACCACCACCATGTACTTCGAAAGGCTGAATTTTATGACATGTGACTTGTACCCCCCCAAATTATTAAAAATATACCATAAAAATATACCATTTCAAGAATGAATAAAACATGTCTTGATGGTACCAGGTTGGGGAGACAGCTCCTCATCTGCACCCTAGGACAGTCACTTTTAGAACCCAGAGGCCACCAGTCAGGAGGAAGCCCCGGCCACAGAGAGGCGGGGGCTGTGCTGAGTGCCAAACGACAGCCAGCATCAGTGTCAGACACGCCAGCGAAGAGCTGCGGACTCCAGTCTCCGGCCTCAGAGTCACGCCCTGCTGCAGTCCTTCCAGCTGAGACCTTTATGCTGTGT